GTGTTGAAGTCAAAGAATTTATTTCCGAAGGCCGCGATCTAGCCACTTGGAACACTTGCGCCAAATGTCTGAAATTATGCAACTGAAAGTTCTTATATTTTGGGAGCTTTATTGTATGACAACAAGTCGAAATTGAGTGCGCGCAGCATGAAAAGAGTAAGAAAATAGAATCGCGTCTGGCTGGAAATGAAGTCTTTCTTTGTATGTGTATGTGTTATTTTGAAAGATGTACATTTGTGACTGGCATTAACATTCTCCTGGCTGCGATTTTTTGCAGTCTTTTTTTGTCTTTTTGTCCGTGTGTCCTGTGCAGGTCCACGAAGAAGAAGATGAGGGTCTCTGGTGCAGAAGAAGACGCCGGGCAGCTTTCGTCGATTTAAAAGTTAAGTACTTGTGAATTTTACCCCCTCTTGAACTCAGGTCTGAAAAGTTGGATCACTGTCCTCTTTTCAGATCTGGGGGCAGGACAACCGTGTTGTTTTGTTAGATGTAATGTGGGCCCTTGTCTCTGTGTTGAAGTCAAAGAATTTATTTCCGAAGGCCGCAATCTAGCCACTTGGAACACTTGCGCCAAATGTCTGAAATTATGCAACTGAAAGTTCTCATATTTTGGGAGCTTTATTGTATGACAACAAGTCGAAATTGAGTGCGCGCAGCATGAAAAGAGTAAGAAAATAGCATCGCGTCTGGCTGGAAATGAAGTCTTTCTTTGTATGTGTATGTGTTATTTTGAAAGATGTACATTTGTGACTGGCATTAACATTCTCCTGGCTGCGATTTTTTGCAGTCTTTTTTTGTCTTTTTGTCCGTGTGTCCTGTGCAGGTCCATGAAGAAGAAGATGAAGGTCTCTGGTGCAGAAGAAGACGCCGGGCAGCTTTCGTCGATTGAAAAGTTAAGTACTTGTAAATTGTACCCCCTCTTGAACTCAGGTCTGAAAAGTTGGATCACTGTCCTCTTTTCAGATCTGGGGGCAGGACAACCGTGTTGTTTTGTTAGATGTAATGTGGGCCCTTGTCTCTGTGTTGAAGTCAAAGAATTTATTTCCGAAGGCCGCGATCTAGCCACTTGGAACACTTGCGCCAAATGTCTGAAATTATGCAACTGAAAGTTCTTATATTTTGGGAGCTTTATTGTATGACAACAAGTCGAAATTGAGTGCGCGCAGCATGAAAAGAGTAAGAAAATAGCATCGCGTCTGGCTGGAAATGAAGTCTTTCTTTGTATGTGTATGTGTTATTTTGAAAGATGTACATTTGTGACTGGCATTAACATTCTCCTGGCTGCGATTTTTTGCAGTCTTTTTTTGTCTTTTTGTCCGTGTGTCCTGTGCAGGTCCACGAAGAAGAAGATGAGGGTCTCTGGTGCAGAAGAAGACGCCGGGCAGCTTTCGTCGATTTAAAAGTTAAGTACTTGTGAATTTTACCCCCTCTTGAACTCAGGTCTGAAAAGTTGGATCACTGTCCTCTTTTCAGATCTGGGGGCAGGACAACCGTGTTGTTTTGTTAGATGTAATGTGGGCCCTTGTCTCTGTGTTGAAGTCAAAGAATTTATTTCCGAAGGCCGCGATCTAGCCACTTGGAACACTTGCGCCAAATGTCTGAAATTATGCAACTGAAAGTTCTTATATTTTGGGAGCTTTATTGTATGACAACAAGTCGAAATTGAGTGCGCGCAGCATGAAAAGAGTAAGAAACTAGCATCGCGTCTGGCTGGAAATGAAGTCTTTCTTTGTATGTGTATGTGTTATTTTGAAAGATATACATTTGTGACTGGCATTAACATTCTCCTGGCTGCGATATTTTGCAGTCTTTTTTTGTCTTTTTGTCCGTGTGTCCTGTGCAGGTCCACGAAGAAGAAGATGAGGGTCTCTGGTGCAGAAGAAGACGCCGGGCAGCTTTCGTTGATTTAAAAGTAAAGTACTTGTGAATTTTACCCCCTCTTGAACTCAGGTCTGAAAAGTTGGATCACTGTCCTCTTTTCAGATCTGGGGGCAGGACAACCGTGTTGTTTTATTTGATGTAATGTGGGCCCTTGTCTCTGTGTTGAAGTCAAAGAATTGATTTCCGATGCCCGCGATCTAGCCACTTGGAACACTTGCGCCAAATGTCTGAAATTATGCAACTGAAAGTTCTTATATTTTGGGAGCTTATTGTATTGTATGACAACAAGTCGAAATTGAGTGCGCGCAGCATGAAAAGAGTAAGAAAATAGCATCGCGTCTGGCTGGAAATGAAGTCTTTCTTTGTATGTGTATGTGTTATTTTGAAAGATGTACATTTGTGACTGGCATTAACATTCTCCTTGCTGCGATTTTTTGCAGTCTTTTTTTGTCTTTTTGTCCGTGTGTCCTGTGCAGGTCCACGAAGAAGAAGATGAGGGTCTCTGGTGCAGAAGAAGACGCCGGGCAGCTTTCGTCGATTTAAAAGTTAAGTACTTGTGAATTTTACCCCCTCTTGAACTCAGGTCTGAAAAGTTGGATCACTGTCCTCTTTTCAGATCTGGGGGCAGGACATCCGTGTTGTTTTATTTGATGTAATGTGGGCCCTTGTCTCTGTGTTGAAGTCAAAGAATTGATTTCCGATGCCCGCGATCTAGCCACTTGGAAAACTTGCGCCAAATGTCTGAAATTATGCAACTGAAAGTTCTTATATTTTGGGAGCTTATTGTATTGTATGACAACAAGTCGAAATTGAGTGCGCGCAGCATGAAAAGAGTAAGAAAATAGCATCGCGTCTGGCTGGAAATGAAGTCTTTCTTTGTATGTGTATGTGTTATTTTGAAAGATGTACATTTGTGACTGGCATTAACATTCTCCTGGCTGTGATTTTTTGCAGTCTTTTTTTGTCTTTTTGTCCGTGTGTCCTGTGCAGGTCCACGAAGAAGAAGATGAGGGTCTCTGGTGCAGAAGAAGACGCCGGGCAGCTTTCGTCGATTTAAAAGTTAAGTACTTGTGAATTTTACCCCCTCTTGAACTCGGGTCTGAAAAGTTGGATCACTGTCCTCTTTTTAGATCTGGGGGCAGGACAACCGTGTTGTTTTGTTAGATGTAATGTGGGCCCTTGTCTCTGTGTTGAAGTCAAAGAATTGATTTCCGAAGGCCGCGATCTGGCCACTTGGAACACTTGCGCCAAATGTCTGAAATTATGCAACTGAAAGTTCTTATATTTTGGGAGCTTTATTGTATGACAAGTCGAAATTGAGTGCGCGCAGCATGAAAAGAGTAAGAAAATAGCATCGCGTCTGGCTGGAAATGAAGTCTTTCTTTGTATGTGTATGTGTTATTTTGAAAGATGTACATTTGTGACTGGCATTAACATTCTCCTGGCTGCGATTTTTTGCAGTCTTTTTTTGTCTTTTTGTCCGTGTGTCCTGTGCAGGTCCACGAAGAAGAAGATGAGGGTCTCTGGTGCAGAAGAAGACGCCGGGCAGCTTTCGTCGATTTAAAAGTTAAGTACTTGTGAATTTTACCCCCTCTTGAACTCAGGTCTGAAAAGTTGGATCACTGTCCTCTTTTCAGATCTGGGGGCAGGACAACCGTGTTGTTTTATTTGATGTAATGTGGGCCCTTGTCTCTGTGTTGAAGTCAAAGAATTGATTTCCGATGCCCGCGATCTAGCCACTTGGAAAACTTGCGCAAAATGTCTGAAATTATGCAACTGAAAGTTCTTATATTTTGGGAGCTTATTGTATTGTATGACAACAAGTCGAAATTGAGTGCGCGCAGCATGAAAAGAGTAAGAAAATAGCATCGCGTCTGGCTGGAAATGAAGTCTTTCTTTGTATGTGTATGTGTTATTTTGGAAGATGTACATCGTGACTGGCATTAACATTCTCCTGGCTGCGATTTTTTGCAGTCTTTTTGTGTCTTTTTGTCCGTGTGTCCTGTGCAGGTCCACGAAGAAGAAGATGAGGGTCTCTGGTGCAGAAGAAGACGCCGGGCAGCTTTCGTCGATTTAAAAGTTAAGTACTTGTGAATTTTACCCCCTCTTGAACTCAGGTCTGAAAAGTTGGATCACTGTCCTCTTTTCAGATCTGGGGGCAGGACAACCGTGTTGTTTTATTTGATGTAATGTGGGCCCTTGTCTCTGTGTTGAAGTCAAAGAATTGATTTCCGATACCCGCGATCTAGCCACTTGGAAAACTTGCGCCAAATGTCTGAAATTATGCAACTGAAAGTTCTTATATTTTGGGAGCTTATTGTATTGTATGACAACAAGTCAAAATTGAGTGCACGCAGCATGAAAAGAGTAAGAAAATAGCATCGCGTCTGGCTGGAAATGAAGTCTTTCTTTGTATGTGTATGTGTTATTTTGAAAGATGTACATTTGTGACTGGCATTAACATTCTCCTGGCTGCGATTTTTTGCAGTCTTTTTTTGTCTTTTTGTCCGTGTGTCCTGTGCAGGTCCACGAAGAAGAAGATGAGGGTCTCTGGTGCAGAAGAAGACGCCGGGCAGCTTTCATCAATTTAAAAGTTAAGTACTTGTGAATTTTACCCCCTCTTGAACTCAGGTCTGAAAAGTTGGATCACTGTCCTCTTTTCAGATCTGGGGGCAGGACAACCGTGTTGTTTTATTTGATGTAATGTGGGCCCTTGTCTCTGTGTTGAAGTCAAAGAATTGATTTCCGATGCCCGCGATCTAGCCACTTGGAAAACTTGCGCCAAATGTCTGAAATTATGCAACTGAAAGTTCTTATATTTTGGGAGCTTATTGTATTGTATGACAACAAGTCGAAATTGAGTGCGCGCAGCATGAAAAGAGTAAGAAAATAGCATCGCGTCTGGCTGGAAATGAAGTCTTTCTTTGTATGTGTATGTGTTATTTTGAAAGATGTACATTTGTGACTGGCATTAACATTCTCCTGGCTGCGATTTTTTGCAGTCTTTTTTTGTCTTTTTGTCCGTGTGTCCTGTGCAGGTCCACGAAGAAGAAGATGAGGGTCTCTGGTGCAGAAGAAGACGCCGGGCAGCTTTCGTCGATTTAAAAGTTAAGTACTTGTGTGGCTGCCTCGGGGCTCACTTGTGCCCAGAGGAGTTTCGGACTATAGTTCTCAAACTTATGAGAAAAGGACTCCCAAGTGACTGGTATTCACAATCAATCCAGGAACCACACACAAAACACAATGAAGCCACTTGACAACATGGTGGTGATTGCTGATAGTAGATTGAGTAGATTGAGATTGAGATAACAATCTGCAATTTAATAAAGCAGAAAAAACACTAATAAGAATACTATAATAAATGTACATGGAAAAGTCTAATCTATTAAACATGGCAAGTTGAGTCCAAAAATGTGCAGTCTGATTGGGTGGTCTGATTTGTCAAATCTAAACACTATTTGCAGTTCAATCTGTTTTTTGCTGAATGAATAATCAACTGTAAAATCTCAGAAAATCCACTTAATTCTGTCTCTAACCATATTAAAAGTAACTCATAAAATCAAGGAAAATGCTTCTTACCAAAATGGGGTCTTTCAAGGTCCACAAAGGGTGAATAAACTGATGAAACTTGAAGAACTAAATCGCAATGAGTATGAAAACACTTGTCTCTGAAATCACATGGTCAGTAAATATGGCTGCCTATTGTTTATGTGGCAAGATTATGTGGTACTTGTACCCACACAAGGTCTCTGTATGCACACAGGAAGTGCACAAGGTCACTCTGGTGGTGGGAAGGAGGCTACTTAATGTAGCACATAAGTAGGCTCTTTCACTTTTATGAGGTGAAAGTTAACTGTAGGCTCTTTCACTAAATATGAAGTAATACTCTAAAAATGGAATTCTAAATTTAAACTATGAAAAACTTGTTAAGAAAATTAATAAACTTAAGACAAACTCACTGCACAGCTGCTGCAGTGACATGGCTCCTCTAACTGCATCTCGCATTTAACAAACTAATCAAACCTGAACTTCAAAGATTAATGTCCATGAAAATGTTCCTTCATCTTGGTGGTCATCTTGTCTCGTACGCACTGCTCCTCAGATGCAGACTAGTGTTGGCTCGTTAAATTGGTATCTACCTACTAATGAGTAACAAGAACAGTTAAAATGTAAAGTTCATAAACTAAATAGATTGTCGTCAGCAGTGGGTCTCTTCTGGCAGGATCTTCAGTTTGGCTCTTCGGCGGGGACTTCTCTGGTCTCTTGAGCTTCAGGCTTCTCTGCGGGTACCAACAGGACAAGCTTGTGTACTGGTCTGTCAAGGAGTGATGGAGAGTGTTGCCGTCTGCCAAGGTTGTCTCGTGTGCCATCGGCCATCAAGAGCTTCACTGACCTGACTCTTCCGTCATTGCTCGGGTAGGTCTCCACTACGCGTCCCAGTGGCCACTGGTTCCTGGTCTGCTCACCTTCCTTGGAGATCACGACATCACCTACTTGTAGATCTCTTACTGGATTGACCCACTTTTTGCGCTCTTGAAGATGGTGCAGAAACTCCTTTCTCCATCTCACCCAAAACTCATTGGTCAAGTACTGGACACGTCTCCACCATTTGCGGGCATAGACATCTTCCTTCTGGAACTTTCCAGGCGGAGGCAGAACCACCTTGGGTTTCATGGTGAACAGATGATTGGGTGTCAATGGCTCTGGTGCGTCTGATGAGCAGAGATAGTCTGTCGTGAGAGGTCGTGAATTGATGATGCCTTCTACCTCAGTCATGAAGGTCCTGAAACATTCATCATCCAGTTGTGTCGTGGTTTTAAGAAGAAGACCCTCTAGTGCACGGCGTACTGTACCTATCTGTCTCTCCCACACGCCTCCCATGTGACTGGCATGCGGTGTGTTCAGCTTGAAGGGAATCCAGTCACAGTTGCTCTCTAACAGGTACTGGTGGACTCTGTCCTGCTCCATCTCAGCTAGCGCTTCTCTCAGCTCACTCCGAGCACCGATGAATGTTGTACCTTGGTCTGAACGCAGTTGACGTACAGGTCCTCTCCTGCTCTGGAATCTTGTAAGGGCATTGATGAAAGAACTTGCCGTTAAGGAATTTGCTGTCTCTAGATGAACACCTCTAGACGCCATACATGTGAACAGGACACCATAACGTTTCACTTGACTCCTACGCTCTTTCACCAAAAATGGACCGAAGTAGTCCACAGCGCAATAGGAAAATGGGGGCGCTGGCTCTAGTCGATCTACGGGTAGGTCAGACATCTTCTGTCGCTGCAGCGATCCACGCAGTTTGCGGCAGGTCACACATCTTGAGATGTAGTTGGACACAGCTGATGAACCACCAATTACCCAGTACCCTCTCTGACGTAGCTCGTTGTGTGTCATTCCTCTGCCCATGTGATTCACCTTCTCATGAATATGGCGAATCAACAACTGGGTGACATGACCTTTGTGAGGGAGAACGGCTGGATGCTTAGCTTCAATTGGAAGATCAGATCTGGCAATACGGCCACCCACTCGGATGATGCCATCGACATCTAGAAAGGGATCTAGCCGGTACAGACAACTCGTCTTCTTCAGGTAGTCATTTCTCACCCTTGCAGTCTTTCCATCGGTGACTTGCCCGATTACACCAAGTTCTTGTAGGGCCTGTAACTCGACACTGAAATGTTCATGCTGAACATTTTTGATGATTTCCATCTCTCCATTCTGTAGTTCTGCCACAGTGATTGCTTGCTTCGCAGGAGTGGAACAAACTTTCCCTTCACAAGGTTTCTTCACTACTCTGTTCCTCAACTTTGTCTTCAACCTCAGACAAAGAGCGACTGCCCTGCAAGCTCTATTCCAGGATGAAAAGCAATCAAGTCGGCTCACTTCGAAGTGATGATGTCGTGCGTTGTTCTCAGCTGTTGTCACGAAAGCTGAGACTTTTTTCACATCTGGGTCTGATTCACTCAGTGGTGCAACTACGGCTGGCTGGGGTTGAAAGGGGCCATCCTTCTGCAAGAAATCTGGACCGGATAACCAGCAGGACTTCTCTATAAGTTCCTTTGCTGTCAGACCACGTGATGCTTCGTCAGCAGGATTTTCTTTGGTGTCTACGTACATCCATCTCTCTGGGTTAGTCAGACTTCTGATTTGCTGCACTCTGTTAGCAACATAGACATGGAATCGTCTTGCTTCATTGTTTATGTATCCCAAAACAATCTTGCTGTCTGTCCAGTAATATTCGTGGAGCATCTCGTAACATAGCTCTCGTCGCAGGAATTCACTCACAGTTGCTGAGACAGTTGCTGCTGCAAGTTCTAGCCGGGGGATGGTGACGAGCTTCAGAGGGGCCACTCTGGACTTACCGACTACAAAGGAACAATGTGCCTTATTGTTCGCATCGACTAGTCGCAGGTAGGAACACTGACCATAACCATCTTGGCTTGCATCGGAAAAATGATGCAATTCAACTGCTGTCACAGTTCCAAAATCCTTGGGCTTAAAACATCGCTGGATTTGGATCTTCTCTAAGCCGAGAACCTCTGAACGCCATTTCTCCCACTCAGGTTGTAGCATCTCTGGCACTGGACTGTCCCAATCAAGCTTGTCGCGACACATCTGCTGCAAAATTCTCTTCCCTCTGAGGGTTACTGGAGCCACATAGCCATTTGGATCATAGATCGAACTTACAGTTGAAAGTATGCCTCGTCTTGTGAATGGTCTATCTTTCAACTCAATATGGAACTGAAAGGTGTCACTCTCGACACACCAAGTGACGCCCAGGGCTCTTTCCATTGGTAGTACATCAACCTTCAGATCTAGTTCCCTTGTACCACTGGCTCGCTCTTCTGCTGGGAATTTTTCCAACAGCTCTCTTTTGTTGGAGATGATTTTGTGCAGTTTCAACCCAGCTTTTCCACACAGATTCTGACTGGCTTTGATCAGTAATGATGCTCTTTCCACTGTGGGTAGTGACTTCAGTCCATCGTCTACGTAGAAATCATTACGAATGAAGTTTGCTGCCTCTGCTCCAAACTCATCCTCTCCGTCATCTGCTGCTCTCTTCAGCCCGAAGTTGGCACAGCCTGGTGAGCTAGCGGCCCCAAACACGTGAACTTTCATTCTGTATTCGACCACTGGCTTCTCTGGATCACCATTTTCCCACCATAGGAATCGCAGCAGGTCACGGTACTTCTCTTCTACATAGAACTGATGGAACATGCTCTTCACGTCAACCATAAAGGCCACTTCCTCTTTCCTGAATCTACACAGAACACCGAGAAGACCATTAGTCAAGTCAGGACCTTGAAGGAGATGGTCGTTGAGTGAAACGCCTCCATATTTGGCTGAACAGTCGAACACCACTCTTATCTTGTCCGGCTTTTTGGGGTGATAGACTCCGGTGTGCGGCACATAGTTTACCTTTCCCTCATCAACTTCCAGTTGGTCTAGGGGGACTCTCTCTGCACACTTTGGGATAACATCTTTCATGAACTCTCTGTAGTCTTCACGAAACTTCACATTCTTTCGGAATCTGGCGGACAGCTGATTCCATCTCTTGACTGCAAGTTGGCGGTTGTTAGGCAGGGTCGCAGCGTCAGACTTCAGTGGTAGTGGCATTTCGTAGTGGCCATCGGATGCTTTCTTTATTCCTTTTTCCATCACGCTCAGGAACTTCTCGTCTTCTACTGAGTATGGCTTCCCCTGATGATTCTCGACAAAGTCGGATTCCAACACCTTGAGAACTTTCTCTGGGTTTAAGACTTCTTTCACCCTCGTACCATAGACGAAGTGTTGGTAGCTTTGTGGTTCAGCAGCAACCACTTTGTTGCATACTGCAGGTTGGTCATCGGTTTGTCGTGCAGCCTTGCAAACGTTCCCAATTACTCCCCAGCCTAGTAGTGACCTCTGGCCGTAAGGGTCATCCTCTCCACCGGCGATGATTTCCCTGGGTCGAACTACTCTGGGACAATTGCTCCCGATGAGAAGAGATATTTGCAGGGTTGGGTCATAGGGCATGAGCTTCTCTCCAAGAGACTTTAGGTGGGGCCATTGATGCACAACCGCAGGTTTCGGTATCTGGGATTTATTGGCTGGAACGCTGTCCCGCTTGAAGCAGACTGGAAGTTTAACAGTGTGCTCTCTATTGACATCAAGCACTTCAAGCCCGGATATGCGACTGCTGGTGATTTGCACATTTTGCTCTTGCATTGTACTGAGTAGTAACTGCGTCTCTGGTCCCTGCAGGTTCATCCTTTCACACAAACTCTTTGACACGAAGCAACTGTTGGATTGTTCGTCCAAGATGGCATATTCGAGGAACTCCCTCGCTGGATCACTCTCACTACGAACCAACACTGGTATAATCATGGAGTGGTCACCTTCTCCTTCTTGGTCTGGTTGGGAACACACTTGGATACAGTTGGACATTCCCTCATCTCGTTTGGGGTGCACAGCAATGACTTCTTTGGGTGGGGATGAATTGGTTGGGACTTTGTCAGCTGGTTGTTTACTTGCCGTTGCTGGCTGGGGGTTACTTGAAGCAGTTTCTTCTGGCCGTCTCTGTTGGAAGTTGCGATGGAGACAGGTCAAATGGGCACCAGCGCAGATCCGACAAACTTTTTTGTCGTTACACTCTCTCACTTGATGATCACTGGAACGTGCACAGCCCATGCACAGTCTCTTCTTGAAGAAGAAATCCTTTCGCTCAGCGAAAGGCTTGCGCAGAAAGCGCTCACAGTCGTCCAGGAGATGACGCTTATTGCAGAAGAGACAACTCTTGTCACTGGACAACTGCACTCTGCTTGTTGGTTCACCTCGACTGGTACTAGTCGCAAAAACACTGGTGTTCTTTTTCGGAGCACTTCCTGCATTTGAACGTTGTTTGTCCTGACTTCGAACCACGCTCTGCAACTCAGGAATGTTTGCCCTGTCTGCTGCAATCTTCACAAGTTTGACAAACTCGCTGAATGGGGGGAAGGAATCCTGACCACGAATCTGTCTCCAATAGTCAATCTTGTCCCGCCACTTTGTCTCAAGGTTGAATGGCAGTTTCTCGACTAGACGAGCATTCTCACTGGCGTAGTCCAACACTCCAAGGCTTGCTGTGGTTACTCGTGCTGCCTCTACTTTCCCCAGAAAATCAGAGAAATCTCTCAAGCCTGCTGCATCCCTCGGCGTTAACCTCGGCCACTGACGGAGTTTGCTTATGAAAGCAGTGCTCACTACACTACTGTTTCCGTACCTCTCGTTCAATACTTTTCTTGCCTGCGTGTAGGCCTCTTCAGTGCCGATGAGCATGTAGTGCTCCACTAGGTGCTTTGGTTTTCCCGTCACATATTGATTGAGGTAGTTAAGCTTGGTGTCGGCGTCAAGGGGTTGGCTGTCGATAAGGGAATTGAAGGAGTTCCGCCACAGGGGGTACTGTAGTGGATCACCGTTGAATTGGGGGATGGCTATCTTTGGTAGCTGGCTAGATGCAACAAGGCGTTTGTTTACATCATGCTGTTGTCTACTGGACTCGGCCAACTGTGTAATGCACTTCTCAAGTGCCGACGACATCGTCATCCGTCCTCCTTCACTTTGGTGATGAGAATGATGTACACTGGACTGTTCATCAGATCTGTTCTGATTGGCTGATGTAACCATGGCAACTGGTTGGAGTGACGCATTGTCCACATATGCGCTTTCACTTTGGGGCACAGATGGACACAGTGGAGGGGGGTGATCACTTTGATGCGAGTTGAGGAATCTCTGCATATGTTCATGTTTGTCGGCGGGGATGCCGGACAGCTCTGATGATATTGAACTGTCATCCCGCTCCAGCGATGAGTACACCTCCATCACAGCTCGGGTTTCGGCCAATTTCCTCTCTATCTCAAGTTGTTCTAACTTTTTGTCTCTCTCGATCTTCATTTCCTCCACTTTCTTTGCCGCCTCCAACTCCAGGAGTTTCAGCTGTTTTTCTTTCTCTGCATAGTCTAGCTGGACCTGCAGAGCAGCCGCTGTTTTCGCTAGTTCCAGCTTTTCTTCCTGATGCCGTGCATATGATGATGTAACGGACACAGCATGACTGGCTCGACTGGAACTCTTACTTGACTTGTAAGACGACACATGACCAGCGTGACTTGCTGCTCGACCGGCGTTACTCTTCTTTGACTTGTCAAACTTATGACTAGAAGACGACTGGATTGGTAACGACATGACGTGGGTTTATTCACTCTGCATGCTCTGGAACGACTGGACTTTGGTTGTGACTTTGATTGTCCTTTGATTGTTATTTGATTGTTATTGTGGCTGCCTCGGGGCTCACTTGTGCCCAGAGGAGTTTCGGACTATAGTTCTCAAACTTATGAGAAAAGGACTCCCAAGTGACTGGTATTCACAATCAATCCAGGAACCACACACAAAACACAATGAAGCCACTTGACAACATGGTGGTGATTGCTGATAGTAGATTGAGTAGATTGAGATTGAGATAACAATCTGCAATTTAATAAAGCAGAAAAAACACTAATAAGAATACTATAATAAATGTACATGGAAAAGTCTAATCTATTAAACATGGCAAGTTGAGTCCAAAAATGTGCAGTCTGATTGGGTGGTCTGATTTGTCAAATCTAAACACTATTTGCAGTTCAATCTGTTTTTTGCTGAATGAATAATCAACTGTAAAATCTCAGAAAATCCACTTAATTCTGTCTCTAACCATATTAAAAGTAACTCATAAAATCAAGGAAAATGCTTCTTACCAAAATGGGGTCTTTCAAGGTCCACAAAGGGTGAATAAACTGATGAAACTTGAAGAACTAAATCGCAATGAGTATGAAAACACTTGTCTCTGAAATCACATGGTCAGTAAATATGGCTGCCTATTGTTTATGTGGCAAGATTATGTGGTACTTGTACCCACACAAGGTCTCTGTATGCACACAGGAAGTGCACAAGGTCACTCTGGTGGTGGGAAGGAGGCTACTTAATGTAGCACATAAGTAGGCTCTTTCACTTTTATGAGGTGAAAGTTAACTGTAGGCTCTTTCACTAAATATGAAGTAATACTCTAAAAATGGAATTCTAAATTTAAACTATGAAAAACTTGTTAAGAAAATTAATAAACTTAAGACAAACTCACTGCACAGCTGCTGCAGTGACAACTTGTGAATTTTACCCCCTCTTGATCTCAGGTCTGAAAAGTTGGATCACTGTCCTCTTTTCAGATCTGGTGCAGGACAACCGTGTTGTTTTATTTGATGTAATGTGGGCCCTTGTCTCTGTGTTGAAGTCAAAGAATTGATTTCCGATGCCCGCGATCTAGCCACTTGGAAAACTTGCGCCAAATGTCTGAAATTATGCAACTGAAAGTACTTATATTTTGGGAGCTTTATTGTATGACAACAAGTCGAAATTGAGTGCGCGCAGCATGAAAAGAGTAAGAAAATAGCATCGCGTCTGGCTGGAAATGAAGTCTTTCTTTGTATGTGTATGTGTAATTTTGAAAGATGTACATTTGTGACTGGCATTAACATTCTCCTGGCTGCGATTTTTTGCAGTCTTTTTTTGTCTTTTTGTCCGTGTGTCCTGTGCAGGTCCACGAAGAAGAAGATGAGGGTCTCTGGTGCAGAAGAAGACGCCAGGCAGCTTTCGTCGATTGAAAAGTTAAGTACTTGTGAATTTTACCCCCTCTTGAACTCAGGTCTGAAAAGTTGGATCACTGTCCTCTTTTCAGATCTGGGGGCAGGACAACCGTGTTGTTTTGTTAGATGTAATGTGGGCCCTTGTCTCTGTGTTGAAGTCAAAGAATTGATTTCCGAAGGCCGCGATCTAGCCACTTGGAACACTTGCGCCAAATGTCTGAAATTATGCAACTGAAAGTTCTTATATTTTGGGAGCTTATTGTATTGTATGACAACAAGTCGAAATTGAGTGCGCGCAGCATGAAAAGAGTAAGAAAATAGCATCGCGTCTGGCTGGAAATGAAGTCTTTCTTTGTATGTGTATGTGTTATTTTGAAAGATGTACATTTGTGACTGGCATTAACATTCTCCTGGCTGCGATTTTTTGCAGTCTTTTTTTGTCTTTTTGTCCGTGTGTTCTGTGCAGGTCCACGAAGAAGAAGATGAGGGTCTCTGGTGCAGAAGAAGACGCCGGGCAGCTTTCGTCGATTTAAAAGTTAAGTACTTGTGAATTTTACCCCCTCTTGAACTCAGGTCTGAAAAGTTGGATCACTGTCCTCTTTTCAGATCTGGGGGCAGGACATCCGTGTTGTTTTATTTGATGTAATGTGGGCCCTTGTCTCTGTGTTGAAGTCAAAGAATTTATTTCCGAAGGCCGCGATCTAGCCACTTGGAACACTTGCGCCAAATGTCTGAAATTATGCAACTGAAAGTTCTTATATTTTGGGAGCTTTATTGTATGACAACAAGTCGAAATTGAGTGCGCGCAGCATGAAAAGAGTAAGAAAATAGCATCGCGTCTGGCTGGAAATGAAGTCTTTCTTTGTATGTGTATGTGTTATTTTGAAAGATGTACATTTGTGACTGGCATTAACATTCTCCTGGCTGCGATTTTTTGCAGTCTTTTTTTGTCTTTTTGTCCGTGTGTCCTGTGCAGGTCCATGAAGAAGAAGATGAAGGTCTCTGGTGCAGAAGAAGACGCCGGGCAGCTTTCGTCGATTTAAAAGTTAAGTACTTTAAAATTGTACCCCCTCTTGAACTCTGGTCTGAAAAGTTGGATCACTGTCCTCTTTTCAGATCTGGGGGCAGGACAACCGTGTTGTTTTGTTAGATGTAATGTGGGCCCTTGTCTCTGTGTTGAAGTCAAAGAATTTATTTCCGAAGGCCGCCATCTAGCCACTTGGAACACTTGCGCCAAATGTCTGAAATGATGCAACTGAAAGTTCTTATATTTTGGGAGCTTTATTGTATGACAACAAGTCGAAATTGAGTGCGCGCAGCATGAAAAGAGTAAGAAAATAGCATCGCGTCTGGCTGGAAATGAAGTCTTTCTTTGTATGTGTATGTGTTATTTTGAAAGATGTACATTTGTGACTGGCATTAACATTCTCCTGGCTGCGATTTTTTGCAGTCTTTTTTTGTCTTTTTGTCCGTGTGTCCTGTGCAGGTCCATGAAGAAGAAGATGAGGGTCTCTGGTGCAGAAGAAGACGCCGGGCAGCTTTCGTCGATTTAAAAGTTAAGTACTTGTGAATTTTACCCCCTCTTGAACTCAGGTCTGAAAAGTTGGATCACTGTCCTCTTTTCAGATCTGGGGGCAGGACATCCGTGTTGTTTTATTTGATGTAATGTGGGCCCTTGTCTCTGTGTTGAAGTCAAAGAATTGATTTCCGATGCCCGCGATCTAGCCACTTGGAAAACTTGCGCCAAATGTCTGAAATTATGCAACTGAAAGTTCTTATATTTTGGGAGCTTTATTGTATGACAACAAGTCGAAATTGAGTGCGCGCAGCATGAAAAGAGTAAGAAAATAGCATCGCGTCTGGCTGGAAATGAAGTCTTTCTTTGTATGTGTATGTGTTATTTTGAAAGATGTACATTTGTGACTGGCATTAACATTCTCCTGGCTGCGATTTTTTGCAGTCTTTTTTTGTCTTTTTGTCCGTGTGTCCTGTGCAGGTCCACGAAGAAGAAGATGAGGGTCTCTGGTGCAGAAGAAGACGCCGGGCAGCTTTCGTCGATTTAAAAGTTAAGTACTTGTGAATTTTACCCCCTCTTGAACTCAGGTCTGAAAAGTTGGATCACTGTCCTCTTTTCAGATCTGGGGGCAGGACAACCGTGTTGTTTTGTTAGATGTAATGTGGGCCCTTGTCTCTGTGTTGAAGTCAAAGAATTTATTTCCGAAGGCCGCGATCTAGCCACTTGGAACACTTGCGCCAAATGTCTGAAATTATGCAACTGAAAGTTCTTATATTTTGGGAGCTTTATTGTATAACAACAAGTCGAAATTGAGTGCGCGCAGCATGAAAAGAGTAAGAAAATAGCATCGCGTCTGGCTGGAAATGAAGTCTTTCTTTGTATGTGTATGTGTTATTTTGAAAGATATACATTTGTGACTGGCATTAACATTCTCCTGGCTGCGATATTTTGCAGT